CCAAGTGATAATATCGATCATCGTAATATAGTTTATAATATTATTATCGATCTCTTCCCTTTTCTTTCTCCTTTCGGTCGGGAGGAAAACAACCGAAACTTTCGACATTTCGATAACAGTTTGGAAAGTGAAGTCAACTGTTTAAAAAAAGACTTCGTTTCCTACAAAAGTTTCTATGAGAATTCTTTTCGCGAATAAACTGACGTCGTGGATACTTGATACTTCTGTAAATAGATATCGATTGAATTAATAAATTGAATATATATTGGTGTTGAAGAATATAACTGTACCAGTGATGATGAAAAATTGATCGAAAAAATTGATTCGACCGTGATTAAATGATGAAAATGGAACCAAGTTATATCAGTCTAAATTTTTCACAAATTCAGAATTGTACAATTAGAACGCATTGGCTTTGCTCTAGCTGCAAGCTAGATCAGTTGAAATAGAATGAAACGAGCAAACGTTTTCATTGAAAATGAAACGTTGTTTTATAATACAACGGTATCAGATTTTCAACTACGTGGTCTGGAGATTAGGTTAGCTGTCAGGGCAACAGGTGAAGTATAGGGAGCGATTTGTTCATCGTCGATAAATCAGTGAAGATAAAACGAGTCTAGCTGCCTGACCGTGCGTTGCACCTGTTTTATTTTTCACTTTTCGAACCTCTACCTGCCTGCTCTTATTAATCTTCCTTAGAGTACAATTAATCGCGAGACGAGAGATCTCGAGTAATGAAAACGGCGTTCAACAGGACTAATTATCTAGTTAATTGATACTTTGTCGATGATTTTTCGTTACATAATCTCACGTTTGAAATATTTATTATTCCTCTTATTACGAGAGAGATGTAAATTACGCCAGGAAGATCGTATTTTTAACGTTCGAGCTGTTATTTAAAATTAAATCTCATCACGGATTTAATTAGAGCAAGTAACTCACGTCATGTCACGCTTCCCTGAGTAACCAATTAACGCACGACAAATGAATTACAAAAGCGTTTCTAAACGTTTATTAGATGAAATGGACAAAATGCCAGCCTAGGATGGACCATTGTTTTATTTATTTATTAAATGTGATAATGTGACTACCATCTATAAATATTTTTAACTTTACTTCACGTTTCTGCTTCGTCCGTTCAACGTTCAATTTTCAAGCCTTCAGATCCTCAGAACGCTCGCGATTTTTTACAAGCATGAACACGTTAGACGTTGTGCAATTGTAAAGATTCAACGGGGAGGACGATATCGACGGGTGAACGGAAATTTATTCTGCTGCGGGCGGCAATCGAACTCGGGTCTTTTTTTTTTTTCTTTTTTTTTCTTTCTTTCTCTCGACTCTTAAAATTCGCCCGTGTGGGACCGCAAAACGGAAAAGTATACACGAAAGGAGACAAACGGTACAGGTGGCAATGGAAAACGGTCAGCTGCACGTCCCGAGACACCAGGGAACTGGCTCTCGTGCAGATATAAATCGGTTCTGCCTACAAAGTTGCACGGTGATGATCGTGTTGCCCGCATATTCGCCAGTCGTCTTGCAATCCCTGCTCCTCCTTATTATACATGTATAATCGCGTCGTTAACTTGAACCGCAATTGCCGATCACTTCCGATCGCCACCTTGTGTCTCGGCGATCGTTTCTTTCTTTATCAGTTTCTCCGGCTTTTTCTCCTTTCTTTTCTTTTTTCTTTCTCTCTCTCTCTCTCTCTCTACGTAGATCTTTTTGGTTTCAGCTTATCTTTTTTATGACATTCGAAAGCGAATTGAATTTTAATCTTTCTTAATCTCTCCGACCGCAAATTTCGATCATTCCCGATTTCTCACGTCTCGAGACGCGAGGTTATTTCTTTCTCCACGAACTTTCTGGCTTCTTTTTTTTTTCTTTCTTTCTCGTGTGTAGATCTTTCGTTTCTTCTTCTTTCCCCTTCGTGACATTCGAAAGCGATTATTTAATATTATTTCAACCGCAATTTTCGATCGTTCTCGATATCTCGCGTTTCGACGAGTTATCTCCTTTCTTCATCAGTGTTTCCTGTTTTTTTCTTTTTCCTTTTTCCTTTTCTTCTTATTCTTACCGTTTGTCACCTTATATGTATACCTGAGGATAAAGCATGATTCGGAAAATTTCGAATTCTTTTCAAACAGAATTGACAGTGATTAGATTCCATTAAATAGAACATGATAAACATGTCTTTTGTATGTTATTTATTTCGAACAAATAATTCAGTCATTAGAGTTCGAAACATTTACAGGTTCGACGCGCGCTTATGAGTCAGACTGATGTTCATTGTCGAAAGTTATAAAGGTATCGGTCGAAAGTGACATTGATGTACGGTGTCTCCATAACGGCTGAGCACCTGTATACATGCAGTTGCGTCATTATTGTAGAAAGCCCCAATCATTTTAGATAAAGGAAGAAAAATGCGACTTTTAATTATCTCGACGTTTGATTTTCCACTGGACATTTGTCTTGATGAGCTTCCGCACATGTGTGTGTGTATGTGTGTGTGTGCAATCGATACGCATTTCCATATAACCAGAGCTCTTCATAGTTTCAATTTTAAATTAACAATTCATTAATTCCGTTAATTTCTACAAACCATCGTCGCAATTTTTACAATTACCATTTGAACAACTCTACCTTTTCGACGGTCGTCGAGCTAGAAATTTGCATGGAAATCCACTGTCTGATAATTCTGAAGAATATGACAAGAAACATTGGAAAATGTAAATTCTCTCTCCTCGCTCGTGTTTGCGTCGTGCGCGTGAATTCACTTTATCGTCGATGAACAGCGTTGTTGTCTAGTAGAGGATTTTGCAACGGTAAATGTCACTCGACGGGACGAAAGAACGCGCGTTATAATAACGAGCGATGCCGATCGATTCGATTAAAAGTCACGTGGACAAGTCGATCGCCGGCGCAGGCAGCGCGGTAATGCGCATTTAATGACAGAAGTGAAGGGGAACACGGTCCCCACGGGGAAAATTTTTGCTTTGACGGTGCCGGAGCGTCGCTTGTCCCTCGCGGTATCCGTGTAAATCCATTTCGGGATCATCACGCGACATTGGCGTTAAAACCGAACCCGAGTCCGTTTCTTTTCTCCCTCGTATTGTGTCGCAAATTAGTTTCGTTTCACGACGGTGATAAGTGAAACGAGGAACTCGATGGATCTCGATGGAGTAACAATCGTTGTTACGTCACTTGCTAGGGTGTTTCATCTAAGCAAGTACTCGCAGCGAAGAGCATAATTGTACCAATGACAATGGAAGATTGTGAACCATTTAAACTGATGTAATTTTATGAAAAAAGATCGTGTAGTAAGTTGGTTTCATTTTAAAGGGCGAAGCTTTTATTTTGACAGTCGTGAGTTCGTTTCTTTTCTTTCTTTTTTTTAAAGATTCAAAAGAATGGTGAAAAAAGTGAGTTTTAAAAGGTCGTTGTAAAGAAAAAAAGTTTCAATCTCCAAGACCATAGTATATATTTAGTCATAAGAAAATTTTTTTTTAATATTTTCACACGCGTTGGAATTTTTACAATTTTCGAGAAAAGTGTGTCCTCAGTTTCGCATCCGCTATGCGGTATAAAATCATTTTCGAAAACAAATTCACGACTCACAGTACAAATTTCATTGTTTTAAAAGTGAGACAAAGTGGATCGTCAGATGATCTTTTTTTTACGAAGTTATGTCAGTTTAAATTATCGACAACTTTTCATTGTTACAGTTATGCTCATCTGAATAACATGTCGTGAAAAATATTCCTGAAATCTCTTTACGAATAACCAATAACCAATTACATGACATGACATCAATTTCGTCAGAAAAATTAAGACAGACGAAATTATCTTCTGAATAAATTTATCTCAGCTCAGCTTGTGAATCACGCTAATCTGAATCTTCTGTCCGATTAATAACGAATTCCGAATCTCAATCGTGGCAATTTCGAAATTCATCGCATTCCGTTCAGCTCGGGAATACGAGCGCGTTCCCGGCGAGAGGGTGAAAACGTGTAGTAGTTGCTAGTCACGTTTTTTCTTTTTTTTTTTTTTTTCTCTTTTCGATATTGGCACGTACCGTGTGTCTTCACCTGCACGGCATATGGTGACGGTGCAGAACGATGATCCACGTCGATGATGCCTATATCGAGGGATGCCAGTTGGATTGAACTGCCGGTTAATTTGCTGCTCATCCCCGCGACCCACTGGTTTTCGAGGGTCGAGAGCCGAGCTCTACTTCCGTTACTTGACCCTTCCCAAGGGGGTCACGCACCGTTGATTCCATTTTCTCTCTCTCTTTCCTTCTTTCTCCACTTCCACTCTCCCTTTCTCTTTCTTCACGTTCCTCGTCTCTCTCTCTCT